GCAGCAGCAGCAGGCAGGGCACTCGTGCCCTGTGCAGGCACTGCCACCCAGTGGCACGTGGCTCTGACCAGCACTGCACATAGTGGAGAGGAACACAGCCAGGCCAACCCACTTCTACCGTGGCAAGCACCAGGCTCCTGTGGCTGGAAGCTACACACAGCCATGGCCAAGAGACTCACAACTGACAGGGCTTTTGGTCCTGCCTGCGCTTCATGCACAGCCAATACTGAGAGATCCCATAACTGATGGGGCTCTCAGCCCAACTGCACCGCACACACAACCATGGCCAAGAGCCCCATTAGTTGCAGGGTCTCTCTATGTGAACTGGGGATTTCATGCACCCTGAGTCTTGGGGATAACGGCAGGGCAGCCACTATCGATGGGATCTGGGGGTTTCATGCTGGGCAAGGTACTCCCCTGCAGCTAGGAGCCATGTCAGCTGACGGGACTCCCAGCCACAAGGGAGACCCTGCTACATGTGCAAATTAAAGCTGAACAGTAACCAGCTATAAAATTAATACACATTTTCAACGTCTAAATTTTGTAACTGGTTGGAGCTTCGTGTGTGTGATAGCCAATTTGCACTTCTAGCTAGTTTTAAGGTAATTTTGCAATTAAACAGTTAATTGTGCAATACCTGTAATGTTAGCATCTCAAAACATGTTTTCTAAATTGCTACAGAAAATGTATTTGCTTAGTCTGCACAAGAAGTGAAATTATTTCCAATATCTGTAAGGGAAGTCGTTATTTGGGGCAGGGGGTGGAATTTAACAATAGTTCTGTTTCCTAAAGCAGATGACAATGAAATGCATCTCTGAGCCAAGAGAAGGCAGGCTCAATACATATGGTCTCAGCACAGTAAAACACTGGGGGGGAGGGGTGTGGAATAAGTCACCCTGATCACCAGATATGTCATTTTAAGCAGAACTGGGCACTTTCTGGTCCTAATGGTTTAAAAAAAATCTCACAAAGACCAGTCTTCTTCATTTCTACTTCCTAACAATTTAAGTAGCTCATTTTTCTGAAACATTCAAAGTCCAAGCAAGAGGAAAACTCTACCCTTTCATATTTCCATATATGTAATAGCATACTTTTAAAGAACTCCCAGTAGGTGACTATGCTAAGGAAAAAAAACACCCTCCTTTGCACCAGGGTTTTGCAGGTGAAGTGGAGGAAGACATGTTTTCCAATCCTATTTTGTTCAAAACTGCAATGTTAGGTAGTGCCCAATTCTATTAGTTGTAACAGGCTGCTAACATTTCAGAAGTTGCACTGTTTTGGTGAGAACGATAGCTTCATTTGATAGGTGTGCAAAATAGGATGCAAATGCAATCTTCTGTTGATCCAGATGCCTCTCGGATTACAAAATGACCTCAAATTATATCATTTTGGTCGTTGCTCTTGTGTCTCTAGCTTAATTCTCAACACGAGAGCAAAATGTGGAAGAGGAACAGACTTATTCTTATTTGGTTTTGATAAATTTGCAGATTTTGCAAAGAAATGATTCATCCTTCCTTTTCCATTAACTACCAACAAACTGAACATCAACATTTCACTAAGACATGGAAAAAGCCGATAAAGCTCACCTACACAAACAATCTGACATTGTCAGGATGTTATTGTAAATCACATTACAGCAGGGTTTGCTCTTGCTACGCAGACACAGGCCAAAAACATTTTTCAAACAGCATAAACTCATAATAAGAGCTTACCGTGGCTTATGTGAAAGTTTTCAGTGTCTAGAAAGAAAATCTGGTCCAACTAAAAGAAAGACAGGAAGTCTGAGCAAGGAATAGTTGCGGCTTCTGTTATTTATAAATATGTGCTTCATTTTTTCATCAGTATTCGTTTCCCTCTTCCTCTGGCACAGGATGGGAGGTTATTTTACACTAAGGAAAGGGCTATCAAACCCTTGTCTACCCCTGTAACTAGACAATAATTATTTACTCCAGTGTAGCCCTCTCAGTATTTGCTGCTATGTCCAGAACCACATGAGCTTTGTGCTCCAACTAAAATAATTAACAGTAAAATAATAAAGTAAAAAGGAAACTTACAATTTTTTTTATTTTTTTTTTAAACTGAGATGGTGTCTAAAACAGTCTGGCAGTGTTTGCGAAAAGCACTCTACCCAACTAATCCATCAGGGAAGAGTAAAGTGAGTTCAGACAGCTCACAGGAATGGATGACTCATTATCCCATTTGGATAATGAGAAGGAAGAGGGCATGGACTTCCAGGAACGTGGAAGCGTGTGACCTCTGACAGCAAGCGGAAGTCTTCATCCCCACCTGCAGTGGTTTTCCTGAAGAAAAGGCACTGAGCCCTAGCAAAACAGAGGAAGAGCTCATTCTGTTGGTGGAAGAGACCAGGCCAGGTATCCCCAAGGTTGGGAGAATCAAACCACCAAAAGAAAGCCATGGGTAGCAGTGGTTAGAAATGCCCTTCTGTGGAGGCATCCATCTGCCAGCCTGACCTGTTGTCTCTGGAGGTCTGCGGCTTGCATGGAGCTGAGAAGTCAAAGAAAGATTACCAAGACTCATCAAGCCCTCTGACTACCCAATGCTGTTCATCTATGTGGACATCAATGGCACTGCCAGGAGCGACCCTGAGCAGATCAAGTGACTACAAAGCTCTGGGTGCAAAGGTTAAGGGCCCAGGGGCCC